CAACTGAGTTTTCACTTTGTTAGCATAATACGTCACTCAGTGGAGTCGGCTTAAAACGAAGTTTAATCCAAAAAAGAGCTGTAAACCAAAATGAAATAAAATCACAGGTGAGCGTGGTACACAGATGAACGCAGAACACAGATGAACATGATACTCACAGCTCAGGACTGGCATACTGAGGTTTCTCCATGCGATAGCCGGACTTGAGGAGACCAATGAACTTCTCGTTTATCTCCACACCAGGGTAAGGATTGCCGCCTAAACCAGACAGAAAGCGAGAAGGAGTAAATTCAATTTGCATATATATACAATTCTATCAAATATAAAAAAGATTCTCAATAAAGAGTGATAGGGGTAATTTCTGGTGATAATAACAGAATTTCTGTTTTACAAAAATATTAAAACAACGATGTTCTTTTTGTTTTAGGAAATGTTTAAGGCACTTGCAACACAATAAGGTCATATAAGTGCCGAAGATTAGAGGTGTTACAAGAGAGTAACAAAAGCAAAAAAGAAGGAGGGGAGATAAGGATGACAGATGTTTGATAGGATAAAAGAAGCAAACCACACCAGAGCACCCGCCAACCACCCACAATGATGTTCTTGAAAGTGAATTCCCAATATATTTTTTAGCAGTGACCTGCAGTGATTGTCTGCCCAATCCAATAAAAGAAATAGAATATTAACAAACAGTTTAAAAAGCCACCAAAAAAAAGTTCTATCATTTATCTAACATTCTAAAAGAAATACATAATTTCTTATCATAGCCAAGCAGGTAAGTCACAGCACTGAAAGACATTCTCACGCCCATCATTTGTAAAAGAAGATCATATGGAAGGAACCAGAACATATTCACAAAGTTCAAACTCTTTTCTCCTCAATGCAATAATTCCTTACAAAATCTACAATTTCAAAAACACAAAAAACCAAAACAAACAATAGTTTTATAAGAATTAGCTATCACCCTCATACATTTGAACAAAGTGATGTTTCTGAATTATCTGTACTATAAGCTCTCATTGAAAAAAGCAATATAAATTTTTTTCAAACCATAAAAATATTCTAACTAAAAGCCTGAGGAACGTAAATCTGACACACAACTAGAGCGCAAAATTCACAGCACAAAATTGATACAACTAGAGCATAAATCCAACACAAGAAGATCATAAAACTGACACAACAGGAGCATAAATCTGACACAAGAAGAGCACAGAGAATAAATCTGACACAACAAGAGCACAGAGAATAAATCTGACACAACAAGAGCACAGAGAATAAATCTGACACAACAAGAGCACACAACAAGAGCAGAGAGAATAAATCTGACACAACAAGAGCACAGAGAATAAATCTGACACAACAAGAGCACAGAGAATAAATCTGACACAACAAGAGCACAGAGAATAAATCTGACACAACAAGAGCACAGAGAATAAATCTGACACAACAAGAGCACAGAGAATAAATCTGACACAACAAGAGCACAGAGAATAAATCTGACACAACAAGAGCACAGAGAATAAATCTGACACAACAAGAGAATAAATCTGACCCAAGAAGAGCACAGAGAATAAATCTGACACAACAAGAGAATAAATCTGACCCAAGAAGAGCACAGAGAATAAATCTGACATAACAAGAGCATAAATCTGACACAAACAGATTTCTTACCTAGTGAGAACAGCTCCCATAGCATGATACCATACGACCATCTGTAGACAGAAAAATCACACATTACAAATGTCCAAATTTGATGAATCCCAAAGGCATCAAATAGATTGTATGTTTTGGTAAAGAGAAATACTTTGACGCAGTAACACTCAATTAGTAAAGGGAAAAGGTAAGACAGACAGATGGAAGCAGAAAGAGGGAAAAGACGAAGCAGTACACTCTTCCAGGCATAAGTCCTCACTTGGGAAATAATAATAATAATAATAATAATAATAATAATAATAATAATAATAATAATAATAATAATAATAAATGACATTTATATAGTGCTTAACCCCCCATTAAAGTACACAGGCTCTGAGCGCTTTACAATACAGTACAATGTACAACAGTAACATAAAACGTCGGATTCTGACGAAAAGAGAATCACTCCAAATATTCAACTTATTAATTTAAAAACAGAAATGGTTTCAGCTGACATTTGAATGAATCAAAATTCTAAATTTAAAAAAACAAAATAATTTCTAGAACAGCGTCTACAGATCTGACAACTTACACATCACTCTTGGTGGTGTAGATACGATGGGTGAAAGACTCCAGGGCCATCCACTTGACAGGCACTGGACCCTGGGAATTGAGATGTTACAATGTTACTAGGTACAAAGTTATTATAGACAGGATGGATATGTCAAAGAGTTACAAGGTGCAATTTTATAGACAGGATGGATATGTCAAAGGGTTACAAGGTGCAATTTTATAGACAGGATGGATATGTCAAAGGGTTACAAGGTGTAATTTTATAGACAGGATGGAAAAGTTACAGTGTTACAAGGTATAATGTTATAGACAAGATGGAGAAGTTACAGAGTTACAAGGTACAGGGTGATAGACAGGATGGAGATGTTACAGTGTTACAAGGTATAATGTAATAGACAGGATAGAGAATTTACAGGGTTAGATGGCACATGGCTATAGACAGCATGAAGACCTTACAAAGTTACAAGGTACAAAGAGGGATAGAGTTATAGACAGAATAGAGATGTTACAGTGTTACAAGGTACAAGACTATAGACAGGGTGGAGATGTTACCGTGCTACAAGGTACAAGGCTATAGACTGGATAGAGATGTTACAATGTTACAAGATACAAGACTATAGACTGGATAGAGATGTTACAATGTTACAAAATATAATGATGGGAGGTACAGAGGTATAGACAGGATGGAGATGTTACTGTGTTACAAGGTACCGTACGACGTTTGTAGGTACAAAATTATAGACAGAGTGGACACATTACAGCGTTAGATGGCACAATGTTAAGAGGTACATGACTATAGACAGAATGAAGATGTTAGAGTGTTACAAGATACTAGGATATATTCAAGATAAAGACGATTTGTTTAGGCTGAGGCCTACTAAATTCAACCTAATCATTTATCCATGAAAAATATCCATGGAAAATATCTATGAAAAGATACAGGGCGAGATTTCTGTACAAATGACTTGCTCTCAAGAGAGTTCAGAGTACCCTGCACAGTGATAAATAAATCCAAGACGCCTGCAAAAACTAGAAGTTTCAAGATCTATAGAAAAAATAAAAACCTCTGTGAAATTAAATTCTTTTCAGACATATCAATATATTGGTATCTTTCAGGCAACACATTTGGATGTATTGCCGATATATCGTCAGCCACTTGAACAAGATTGAAAAATTTGTTTCATTATTTCCATTCTATTACTTTTGTAACATCAATGAACACCAACATTTAGTTATCTTTGCAATGATATTATAATATATAACTGCCACTACAATCTTCCTATACCAACCACAAAAGCTGTTTTATTTCCATACCCTCAACATAATTAATTGGATTGCGAATTAATTACAACCAAATTGTTTTAACAGCCGAAAAAAAATTGCACTTTGAATTATTAGAAATTTGTCCAGTGCAAAAAACTGTTTCAGTTTTAGTTTGAGCTTTTTTAGTTTTAGTAAGAGTTTTACGGCGCTCGCAACTGCAAAAGGTCATATGAGCGCCAGAAGATTAGAGGTGTTACAAGAGAATAACAAACACCAAAAAGGAGGAGGGGAAATAGAGACGATAGATTTGTTTATAGGAAAGAAGAAGCAAACCACACCAGAGCACCCGCCAACCACCCACTAGTTTGAGCTTTACAGCACTTGCAACACAATCAAGTTATATATAAGTGCCAAAGCTTAAAGGTGCTACAAAGAGTGGCATACAAAGAAAAGAAGGAGGAAAGAAAAGAAAAGAAGTAAGACAGGTGTTCGATTTAAAAAAAAAAAAAAAAAAAGAAGGAGCAGACCACCCCACCAACAACCCATAAAGCTGTTTGGTACTTACATCTCCCTTCTTGTGGTACTCAGGATCTTTGTACAGGTCTTTGGCCAGGCCGAAGTCACAGATCTTCACAACGTTATCCTCGGCCAACAACACGTTTCTCGCTGCCAAGTCGCGGTGGATGTACTGGAAAGTGAGGGGAAAAAAACCCAAAAAAAAACCCAATGAAAATAACCTCTATAAACAGGAGGAGAAATACGTATGTATAAATATAAGAAATACAAACACGAACTACAAACACTTTAGTTGTTTTTTCTAGTAAGAGTTTTACGGAACTTGCAATACAAAAAAGTCATATAAGTACCAAAGATCAGAGGTGTTACAAGAGAGTAACAAACACGAAAAATAAGGAGGAGAGATAAGGATGATAGATGTTTGATTGGAAAGAAGGAGCAGACTACACCAGAGCACCCGCCAACCATCCACGAAATACAAACACCATCACAAAAGCGATAAAAGGAATATGGAAAATTTATAGAAGGCAACAGCCAAATAAAACATACTTTTGTATTTTACTTCCCCCTGTTTTGACAACAGAAGGAAATTCATCTACTTCCTACCAAAAAAACAAAGTGTGAAAAATCCTACACCTTCAACAGATGTTCAATATCTAAAAGTAAGAATATCAACACAATATGATTTTATTCTCTTTTAAGTCTTTAATATCTACAAGAAAATAACAACCAAAACAATAAATATGCTCTCTCAAGTCTTTAACAGATGTTCAATATCTACAAGTAAGAACAACAAACAATAATAAGACTAATTCTCTTTAATCAACAAACATGTATCTTTCTCTATAATCAGCAAACACGTATCTTTCTCTATAATCAACACACACATATTTTCATTCTCTTTAATCAACAAACATGTATCATTCTCCTTATTTTACTAATATGAATCATTCTCTTTAATCAACAAACGCATCATTCTCCTTATTTTACTAATATGAATCTTTCTCTTTAATCCACAAGCACATATCTTTCTCTTTTATTTACAAACATATATCATTCTCTTCAATTAACAAACAAGAATCTTTCTCTCTAATCAACAAACACGTATCATTCTCACCTTCTTAGAGGCCAGGAACTCCATGCCTCGAGCCACTTGGAAGGCCCAGCAGTACAAGTTCTTCGTGGTCAGACTTGGGCCAAGGACGTCCGCACTGCCCATGGGACCCCCGGCGATGTTCAGGTAGTACGGGCCCTTTTTGTTGGGGGAGGACACCGGCTCCTTCTTCACATCCGGCATGAAGTTCTCGCAGTCTTCCATGGTGTCTTCGAAGTGGGCTTTGTTCTTGATCAGGTACGTTCTCAGATTGCCAAAGTGGCAATACTCAACGATCACGTAAAGTTCTCCTGAGGAAGAGAAAAACTGTACTTTAACACTTTGCCCCCACGAGACACCCATCGGCGATGGTAACAAGCCGCCCCTTTTCCCCACAGCACGCCGATCGGCAACGGTGTGATATATATAGCAACAAAAACGTTGCAGCAATGATCTCCTTTTTGACATACGCTCTTGTTAAAGTTAAATTTCTTTTCTGAATGGTTTGTGAGGCCTTTGAGCTCGTAAATCAGTTTGTATACAACAACTGGGAGTAAATTTTTTTGAAAAATTTTTGACTAAATCTTATGTTTTCAGTTCCGATTCTAGTTCCTTTTTTGCTGAACATGCCATCATCACTTTTAATCTTCTCAGTACGCTGAAATTTTAATACAGGTTGGGGTATTTTTGCAGAGATACGGGTGTAGTACTGATGTACCGCATCTGTATCTCGGTCCGTGGGGGATAAGTGTTGTGTGCTCTGCGTGCCCCACGGGTGGAAAGTGGTAAGATTTGATACTATTTTGTTTTTGTTGGAATAAAAGGAAGTGCCCTGACACAACAGAGTTTTGTTTTTGGATGGGAGGAAGTACGACAGACAGATAGCCAGAAACAACAGAGGGAAAGATAAGAAATACCAATGAGTGAATTCAGGCAGAACTGTGAACTCAATGACAGAGCAGCTCTCCTTGATTCCAATATTCATTATAAGAAAGAACACTAAACACTTCCTCTTCCTCAACTGCACAGCTGCACATGTTGCGACCTCCGTTCTTTCTTGCCCTATCTCCATTTTTAATAACGGTGAAAACAGTTTATAACAAAGAGCGAGCTCAAGAAAAAGCCACATTTTCACTGTTTAAAAAAATGGAGAAACGACAAGAAAGCGCTGAGATTGCGATTGAGTTACATACACAGGAACATACACTCCCACACATAAAAAGATGAATAGGCACATACACATACATACATAAGAATGACAAAAAAATTATTTGGCTTATAACAATTTTTCATTTAGTTATAGCCTTCATCCTGATTCAACAACAACGCACCCATTAACAAGTTCTTCCAACAAGTTGCCAGGCAAGACCTGAGCAGACAACTGACCAGTCAATAAATTTTGTTCTCTTTCTTTATCAAGTGCCAGATCTGAAACACACGTAGGCAATCACAGCACACCTCTTATTTCTCTACTCAGATGCTCTTAAAATAAATTTAAAAAACTACATTACCTCCGGCTTTTCGTGATTTTTTTGGTGAAATTACAGCAATAATGGTTCTCAGTTGCCTACTGCCCAGCAGATGGACATTTAACTAAGGAGCAGTTAAAATCTGACTGAATCTATTCACAAGGAAAGAACTGTCCACAAAAATAAATAAGGCAATAGACAACAAAAGTGTCATTGCAGTCTGACCGAATCTATTCACAAGAAGAGATGCATCCACAACAAGGAGTTTAGAACTAATCTACTTTTAATCTCCTTGATCCACAATAACAGATAAGGAGAAAACTATCCACAATAACAGA